TTCGATATGCGAGTAAACAATAAGTTGTTTTTATTCTAGAGCGTTCAATTGAAGTAAAAAATGCCCTTAATATTACAATTATTCGAAGCAGAAAGTTTGCGACATCAAATGATCAGAAGAAATGTTCACTTTACTCAACATAACAAGCTTTTCCAAAGTTAAAATCGTTTTCTCATTTAAGAATCTTCATCATCTCATCTTCATTCATAGAGCAGAATGTAACATTTGCACAGCAATGAAACGACAACAACAATAACACATATTTTTACTGTCAAAATTTTGATGTCAAATGGTGTCGACATTGGTGACGGTATTTTGAAACAGACTGTGTAATCCATATTCATCGTATATGATCCTATGTAAAGTTCTATACTTGATCTAGTTCACATTGACAGTCCAAATCGTTTATGTCCACTAGCGTGGACATGGACTGTGTGTTTCTTCTGTTACATGTACGTTGTAATGGACAAGTAAAGTAACATGGCGTCGTTTAAATAAATTTAAAAATCCGTCCACTCGTGTCGACACCATCTAGCACGGTAGTAGGGATTTCATTGCTGAGAACATTTGCAATGTGTACTGTTTTCTTCTCGAGGTTGATATTCAATTATTGTATCTTTTTATTGCTAACATTTGGGTATTGTTTTGATGTACCACCCAAAAGACTATTATCAATATTACAATCATTTTCAATTTGCCTTCCGTTGACATTATTCACATTGTATTTATTGCGTAACGCTTGTTTAAATACAGCGTTATCAAGTGTTAGAACATTATTCATGTCATCCATAATGTTACGGCTCATTTTTTGCACCTGGCAAGATTTAATGTCTTCAACCTTATGTTGATGTAACGAGTTTTTCTTCCGTTCATTCCGTTCATGATCTTCTCCATTTGATGGAAATTCAGCCAATACTGTTTCATTTGTGTTAGTAGATGAGGGTGAAAAAACAAATCCAAATGACTTCGATATGATCGGGCATAGGATCATTTGATGCATACAAGCTATTAGTCTGTAATTAGTACCTTGGAATGGATCCAAAATAGCGGGACAAATCATATGGTTTAAATTGATTTGCGCTGTCTGAAATAAATATTAAAGTAAAATTAAAATATGTAAAACTTGATGTAAAAAAAGCAAATTATCTACGATCAATTACCACAGCGAAAAACTCCAATATTCCATAGTGATAGAAAATGAAAATTCCATAAGCTGCAATGCTATAGCTAAAATCCATAATTTTCTCGGCTGCATAAGGACCTGCCACTCAGATTAAAATTAATATTCACAATTAATGTAAGCAACATAAAATGAAAAATTTGTCTTTGATCTATATTAGTCGTACCTCCATGTCGTAGTAAATATGCTGGAATAACAAACATTAGGCCATGTTGAATATAATAGGTAGCTAGTTCAAATGTAATTTTTCTTGAATCATGTTCAGGAAATAAAAATGCCAGTAATGGCCCATTCAAGTAGTTGACGTGTATTCTGAACAGTGTGGTGGTCCATTTTGAGGGTTTTGCCGCCAATAAATAAATTTGTAGCATTGATGTTACGTGACATGGATTCAAAATATAGATCGCTGTGCGCGTACATAATTTGAAGCCCATTTCTAAGCCCAACAAAAATGTCATAGTGATCAAAAGCAATTGCTTGCCGCATACAATACCATCGTATCTACTAAAGTTGAACTGCAATGGAGGGAGTTTTGACATACCATATTTGAAAATGAGTATTGCTACTGGAACTAAAATCACACTTTCAACAATATGTCGAGTAGTAGATAAATAGTTAACACATTCCGGTCCCGTATTACGTGGAATGTTACCATTGACGCCTTCATATGCCCAGCCCCAGTTCATCTTCTTTTTGAATATATACACAAAATTTCAAATTCAAATTTCAAATACTTCCAGGTACCCTTCAATAAAAATACTTCCCGGTAGCTTCTACAAACAACTTCACTTCGAGAAGCCGAATAAATTCTGAAACGTAAGATATGTACAAAAATAGTTAATGATAAAAGCGTTTAACAAACATTTATACGGTATATTTTAGAATGTTTCAGAGAATATTTTTAAATTTTAATATCAATCTTATTCAGTGATTTTTTTATTTTTTTTTACATATAAACGTTCTCGGTTCGAAAAATACACTAATTTCTTATATGAGCTGCTCTGGATTTATCGGAAGGAATCGAAACTGAAGCCCTCAAAGTGGCTACTATAAGCGAGTTGTCGAAACCACAATATATGTTATTCGCATAGTAATGAAACAACAATCATCACAATCTAACGCAGAATTCATTATTATGGTGAATTGTATGATAGGCCTATAACAATAGTTGTGGTTTGGTTGCGACTATTATGTTACATCCATTATTAGGGTTAATGAGTGTTATTTCATTAAGAACCAGTACTAGAATCACATGAACGATAATGAATTTCTGTAGGAAATAAATTTAAATATTCGAATACGTTTGATATTCGTTTGCTGTCAAATTTGCATCATATATACATAGAAACCGTTACACTGAAAAAGAAAAAAAATAATGTGCAGGAATAAATCGACAAATTAAATCTTTAAAACATCGCTTCAATGGCGTTGCTTATTTTTATTTATTCTTTCGAAAATAACAGTTTACGAAACAAATTTTGCGCATTTATCAAGTACGCATTGTACATGGATACTTAAAAAGAAATCGCACTCGCTTACGAACAGCTGTATCAGTCACTGGTTAGCAACGTGCCCTTGAAATAAAAGACATATATTTCATCAGAAACACACGCATCGTCTCAATATGTTCCAAATGATTTATATTTTGTTCGTAAAAAATGAAATGAAGTAATCATCAGTGGATTAGGCTGTTTAAACACAGTATTTTTCAAAGAGTGTAACCGCTTGACTTCATTCGAATGTTATTTTTTCGATGAAATTCGCATTAATGGTTAAAAAAGTTTTATGAGTATTGTACGTTGTTTCAACACGTACATTAGGGTGTTTTTCATATCTGCAAAGGAGAAAATGGTAATTCTCAATTTAAAGATGGTCAAATTTCATGCCAATTAATAGTAATCACAAAACATAGAGATTGGTATTAACAAAAAAATATATGTTCAAGTCAATCCCAATTGCCATGCAGAGAATAAATACATACATGAAAACTCTTCCCGAATGTACTCTATCTATCCATGAACTATTATCGAAGGACTAAAATATTGGCATAGGAATTCAATACCTATTCTAGGAACATCAAATAGAGATTGATATTACGACTTCCCGAAGCGGGACTGTTGAAATATTTTTAAATATGCAAAAGTGTAAAGTGTATAAATTAAAATATCTGAATAATTCACATGTTCCCTTCTCTATTCCGCTATTAGATTCATTTGAACATTGCTGTATGGTGTTTTTGTGCTAATTGAATTGAACTGATTGCTACATTCGCAATCGAGTTAAAGTGAGTTGGAAATGTATTTTATTGTGCTCTCAAAGAAAAAAAAACAATAGAAAGTCATTGTGTTTAGTAGCATTTTTTTTATGTCATATCGAAAAATTTATTTTTCATTGCAATTGCATTAAAATTCTGTATTGACAATGGGTGGACGAAAAAGAAACGGAGTTGGTACTTTATGTGGATCGAGACCGAAAAGACGTAAAGTGGGCAAACTTCCAGAAGAAAGTGGAATATTAGCCATAATGCAGTGGCGGATTATCATACAATATTTGACGAACAACTGGAAATTTTTCCATGAAGGTGATGGTATCCACATAATTGAAGGATGCTTGTTTACTTTGTTGCGCAAATATAAAGAAGACAAAGACATGGTGCCCGAATTTCGAGACATAGTCGAGGCATTGGACGGAGACAATCGGTTCGCATGGCCCAATAATGATTATTTTGGGAATCTTATGAAATATTTATTCCAACAACATGCACGAAATGCCATAACCAACCTCACCACATGACAAACGACTTCGTGACTACCTGAGATAGTTTGTGTGGGAACACAACTTCGACAATCTGGATCCAAACGACGTATTTGATGATCATGATGTCAACAATGCAGTGAAGTGAACCATTGATAGATACGATTCAACCAGAGGTGATGCGATTAGATTTGACAAACGGAATCGGTTGCTCACTTGTGTGCGAAATATTGGCGAACCAGAAGACGACAACATCGCAGAAGATACAAAAGAGAATTGGTTCACAATGTTGCACATGCAGAAAAAGATCTATGATTATCACAATTGGTTACAAAACAGCCCCGAAAATATTCCGACTGACATTGAGCTTCCCATAAACAAAAATCTTTCGGTATTAGCAATTTGCACACATTTGCGAAAGAATATTAAAATTGATGCCGATATATTGTATCAAATGATGTGTGAAACCAAAATCATCCCATTAGATGAGTATGGGCGGCAAGTTGATGTCACGCATGTCTGTGAAAACAAGGTTCATTTATGAACAAAATCAATGGAATATTGAATGCGAACAAAGAAATACATTATCATGTTGAAACCGGTGGTGTGTCAGCATCGATTTTATATATATTTTCGCGATACGTCATACATTGGAACAGTTGGTGAGCGATGAACTGATAAAAAAGCGTTACGAGGATGGCTTTTACATCTACGAATTTGGAATCAATCCGGGCATGAACACGTGAGACGCGACCGTTATACGGCATATCGACTCCGGCAAAGAGGTATGTGTTTTTGATTTCTCAGTATGCATTTCATTTAATCGTGTGATTTATTCCATTGTTTTTCTTTCTCTCTCTCTCACACACAGATGAATTTCAAGACCAGCAGTAAGAAATATCATTACCTGAACAATAGGGTGGAACATTTTTTTGAATTTCGAGGCATATCTTGATGGTCTTTTACGCCCATACAAAATTTTCGATTTGAGAAAAAAAATAATTTTTTTTATGGGAGGCACCTTTATTTTTGGTTGAAATTTCATGAAACTTGTTGATATTACTTATTTTGGTCAGAAAATAAGATTCACAACTTTTCATGGTGATTCACTCCAATTTTTCATGATTTTCCAGTAAAATGTACCTCCATTCCTTTCAAGTCGCTGTCTTATATGGAACCGCAAGTTGGGCATTCCTTCATATCTTGAATCTGTGGACTATGAGACATGCTTTTCCAAGTGGCCATAAAATTATGCCAAAAATGTTCCACCCTACTGAACAAGCAAGGAGTACGAAACCAAAAAGTAAAACGGTGGACATGTAGGTTTGTCGCCTTCGAACAAAACGATCGAAATGATAGAACCCGTTATCCGCAAATGCCGAGTCCAAAAGGAGAAAATTGAAGAGACTATTTAAGCCATCGCTTGAGGATTATGAAGAAAGCCATTGACGTGTATACGAGCGAAAGATACACTCGTCTACGATTTGATAAATACATCGGATCGAATCGATCGAGTATGTGACAAAATTGCTGCCATGCTGGTAAGAACAAAACATAGAGCATTCACACAGAGAAATAAAGTGACATTTTTATTAGATGTATCATATATAATATGGATTCTATATATAAAATTAATGAAAATCACAAAAAATCTACCGATCGATTTTTCTCGCTTTTCCGATGGGAAAATCTGAAAAATATCGAAAATTTCGTCCCCTGAAAGGCAACGTGAGGGGTCCAGTACTAATGTGCCCAACTTCCAGATCACTTTGGACCAGGTCGGATCCACCTACTCCACAAGATCTACTTTATTTCTGTGTGTGTTCGTTGAATTTATTTAATTTGTTAATGAAAAAATATATTCTTGTGTCCAAATAGACAAATGGTAAGCCTTCCATAATTTTCTTCAGAGCGGCGAATATCTCACCCAACTCGCCGATAAAGATTAAGAGGAATATTCGCTGCCCTGATTAAAAGTTTTAAGAAAATACTGGGCAATGTGGTGAAAATGGTAAACGAGTTCCGAACGTCATGAATGTGTGCACGCTGTTTCGAACCCTTTGGTAACATGTAACATTGGGTCATCGTTTCAAAATGTGCGATTGGTGTGTGACAGATAACAACGACTGGCCAGAAGAATTGAAACTACCCGAAAAAATCGTGACGATGAAGAGCAAACGAATGCTGCGCGATGCAATGGTTGCGAATCCAAATCAAGCTGTCGGTTTTGTGTCAAAAGTCATTTGTTACCGAAAAAACTGGCGTCAAAACGAGACATACGATGCGGTTAAGTGCGTTTCTCAGCTACCAAGCATTATTCGCGACGAAAATGTCATCGATTTTACTGTAAATTACATGCCTCTTGATGATAACTTCTATGTCGCCGAAGAGGAAGCTATCCTGAACACTATTTGGCACCGGGACATTGCAGCTGCAAAGCTGATACTGTACAAAGGTAATTTATTCATTGAATTGAAATTGGATTTCGAATGAGAAAGTGATTAAAATTGGAGTATATAATACTATTTTGTACTATTAACAAATTTAAGTGTGTTTTCTCTTTGTTGTCTAAGCCATTGTGGACTCTTCGGATTTGATCTGCATCGTAACTTCCATGTTGAACGCCTCGTCCTTCCAAGATGGATTCGAATCCACTAACGAGATAGAATTAAGATCGATGAATTTAAAATTTGAAACTAATTAATGTAATTGGATATTTATTATATCTATTGAAAATATCGAGAAGAGAGTATGTCATTTTTGAGCTGAAAATATTTCAAAACGAGAGTATGTCTTTTGTCGATTGTGTTAATAGCAAAAAGGGAGTAAGTCGCATCACATTTAAAAATTTATAAAAGAGAGTATGTCGTTTGAGGTATTTAGATTGGCTTAAAAGAGAGTAAGTTGTTGGCCATATGAATTTAGCAAAAGGGGAGTATGTAATTTAACTAAATTTGTTCATAATAAAGAAGAGTTAGTATTTGTCAACTCACATTTAAAAAAAAGTATGAAAATAGTTAAATTAATTAATATTTTTGGATGAAATATCAATCGCATGTAATAGGGTCGCAGAAGCAGCTACACAGTTGCGTGAGTCAAAATACACATAAACTAACAAATCACAATAGCAAATGCCGTCTGTGTGTGACTTATCAAGCGCACAGATTATGTTCATTCGTGTTTGATACGTATGATTGTTTATGTGCGCCTGTGACGACAACAAAGACTCCGTTCGCTTCACTCACCCGTTGCCGTTTATGTGCTGTTGTGAAATATGATTGTGTATTTATATACGAAGAGATTTAATGTTGCTGATTCTGCGCGCCTGTTACATTGGGATCGAAAAATGTTAAATATATTAACTATTTTCGCACATACTCACTTTTATTTCAACCAGAATAATTTAGTAACGTACTCTCCTTTATTTCCAACCAATTTGGCCAAATCACATACACTCCTTTCGTAAAATAAAAATGAACAAAAACTTACTCTCTTTTATGACAGACTAAATTGCTCGAAATACGTGCTCTCCTTTAACCATTTTTACCACGAAAAAACATGCTCTCGTTTATCGTACTACAATTCCGAAAAACATACTCTCGGGTCGATTTAGTGACCCAGGTTCTATCGATAGAATTTAGAAGAGAAAAATTTGAAGAGAAAAAAATCCAAAACTATTGAAGTTATTTGTTGAAACGTCGTCGAAAATAGTAAAAATCCGGGCGAAATCCGGAGTTTTTCCGCCATATCCGGGCCGGGCGATTTTTCCGGGCGATCTGGCAGGCTTAATCTATTCTATTTGAAGTTCATAGAATATGTATTGAATTCCTATGCCAATACTTTGGTCCTTCGACAATAGTTCATGGATAGATAGAGTTTTCATGTAAGTATTTACTCACGCATGGCAATTGGCATTGACTTGACCATAGTTTTTTGATTGCTTGGGATGTCGTAATGCCAATCTCTATGTTTTGTTATATATGTTATTGGCATGAAATTTGGCCCTCTTAAAATTGAGAACTACCATTTTTTCCTTTGCAGATATGAAAAACATCCTACTTTTTCTTTTTGTAAAAATCTATATCCTTCAAGCTTATTACAAAACATCAAAATTACGCTGTCACACAAATTTATTTTCTTGAGAAATAACTGCACACAACTATTTACTAATTTGCATTGAATGTGAGGTTAATGAAGAAAATCCGTTTGAAATTGACTATGTATTTCTTTTCTCTCCTCTCTCTCTTTTCTTTAAATCCCCTGAGAGTAGGCAAAAACTTTTTTCTCGCAAACTTTCAGTATCGCGCAAGATTCTAATCATTGCAGGGAGGAAATTTATATTGTTCACGAAGAGAGAAAAAAGTGCGACATAATAGTCTGATATTTGAACGTTAATTTCACAATATCGTTGATATAAATTTAGGTTATAAAATCTTAAGGTATCCACTATCGCGTCTTCATCCATGGATTGCATCCATACTCAATATTTTAATTTGCTATATAGTTTCCGCAAGAAACTGAAAACCTTTTTTTACTCTTCAATTTTGTGTGGGATGAGTGGAATTTTTTTGAATTTCTTGGTTTTTAGTAAAAAAAATTCGATTTGTTCGGGTTTTTGAACTTAATGTATGATTTTGTTTTTGAATTTTTCGTGCCCACGTATGATTTGCGGTATATTAAAAATATTAATAATTGATCATTATGGATGACACGCATTGATTTGTTTAGAAATGCTGTATGAATTAAACCAACTATTGTATGGATATATCAAAAAATCTCTTCATCATATTATTTTCTAACTAATTAATTCTTATCGTTGTGGATAAATCGATATTTTGACATTCGCAAGAACTGCAGGAAACCTTCGTTAAAAACGAATGAAAAACAAATAAAATCAATGTCAAAGCCACCAAAACATACCTTCACTCAGATGCGTCAAATTAAGAATTTCACTCAATATATGAAAGAATTACTAATCACGGAGAGATGATGCTTCTCTATAAAGAAAACAATGTGATACTATTAATAGTTTATGAAAAAATTATTGAATTAATAATTTCAAAATTGTCTTTCGGCAAAAATCTTTTTTTTTTTTGTCTCTTCTTTTATGTTTTTGTTATCCGTCGTTTTACAGCAATAAACCAACGATAAACGAATTCGATACGAAAATCTTTTATTGTTATTTATTGGAATTTTTCTTCGAACTAGTTTCACTGCAATATTTTTAACTAGCTAACTATTTTTAATAAGTTTTAGCGATGTGCACTTTAGCATTCACTGTCGCGACAGACGTTTTGATTGGTTAGGTTAACGGCATATTTTGGCAGTGTAAATGTCATTTTTTATGCAGTAGAATAAATTTTTTGAATTGTTCATCGATTGCGTTCTTCGGGCAAGTTCAGTAAAAAAAGTTGTTTAGTTGTTTGTAGTTGTGGATTTATTTAGTTTGTTATTCTATCATTCGACGATATCTTCACTCCGTTGCAGCACAGCTGTCAAAGTTGTTTTTATACTGTCGATGACATTTTTGATATCGGCGCAAAAAGATCGAAGTAATTTATAAAATTTTCTAAAAATATTCCGATATTTCAGAAGAATTGTTAAATTGTTATTTAATAATTGATTAGTCCCGGCAACAATGTCAGCACTAATGAGCAGCCCATCGTTGGATGCTACCATTACTGCAATTAATGTTGATGCAGATAGATATCCGTTTTGCATAGTGTGGACATCAATTCCAGTGTTATCCTGGTTCTTCCCATTTATTGGTCACATGGGAATTGCAATGTCAAATGGAGTAATACGAGATTTTGCTGGTCCATACTTTGTATCCGAAGATAATATGGCTTTTGGACGACCAACACGATATCTCATCTTAGACGTGAAAAAAGTAAAAAACGGAAGTGCGCTTGAGTGGGACGAGAGTATTTCTAAGGCATCAGTTGTGTACGGAACTCGTATGCACAATCTTTTTTGGGACAATTGTCATTCACATGTTGGTATGGCGTTGACATACTTACTTAAAAAATGAATAGTACTAGTTTACTCTATAATTCCTGATCCATTCGTTCCATTACTTATTGATTAATTTCCATTTTTTCAATTCTTTTCTTCTGATCAACCCAAGGTATGGCGTTGAACAATATGAAGTATGATGGTTCTACGAAATGGAATATGATTCGATTGGCAAGTTGGATGTTCTTTTATGGAAAATATGTTAGTTTCGGGCGAGCCCTACAAACATGGCTTCCGTTTTTAATCATTCTGATGGTTTGTGCTATTTTTGGTTATTTAATGTAAATCGATGGCGTTTTTTACAGAATCACAATGGAATCAAAATGAATTTATTATAAATTCACTCAATGATCAATTATTCATTTTAAAAAAAAATATCTTGTTCACAATGGAATTTCAAATAATATAAATTCATAATAGCATTGGTAATTTTAAAATAAATGGAATTCAATCAACTCACTCCATAAAGCTAGATTTTTAAATAAAACATCAATGGTCATTTAAATGGATATTCTTTTTTAATTACTCAAAATTACGATATCTGCATTACTGATTAATTAAAAATATATCCAGAATCCATAAAATTTCTGTTCATATATTTCTTTTGATTTTTTAGATTAATAAAAAAATATTCACCCCTTAAGCGAATTTCTTTGTTCAAAAATGTTAGTGTTTCTATTTCATATTAGGCTGTATTTTTAATTTTATTACTTTATTTACAAAATATTTTCACTTGGTCAGAGACATGTACTCAAAAACGGTTTTAAATTTGAAACTCATTCATTTGTTTTTGTCGTTTGTTAAATATAAAAAAAATGCGATTGACTTAAATTTAATCTGAACTTAAAACCAAAAGGAAAAAAACTCAAAAATGAAACTGACGAATTAATTAATTTGAAACTAATTAATTACGTTAGTAAAATTATCAATATTATGTCAATTTTCTAAAATCATGTTTCGAAATGTTTGTAAATAGCCGTCACATATGCCAATATTTGTTGCCAATCGGGTCGCTCTTGTTGACACATATTATTTATGTTCTGAAATTAGATAAAATGTCGTGCACAGCACATATTAAAATGTGTTATTAATAAAAATCAAATTGAAAGAGATTGATACTACTTACGAGTGTAGTGTGAACGCCAACACTTTCGGCAGCCTGAAATGCAATTGTAAAGTTGCGACGCTTATCATGCGGACCGAGAGTGTCGTATGGTATTTTGTCTTTTAAATATGAATGTAATATGGCACAAAAAGCTAACCCATCATTCCACGATGAACTGAAATTCGTTATATCAATATTTCTATAGCCAACAGTCTTATTTTGACACCATTTCAACAAGGCATTACGTTTGGAGCCACCATTTTTCACCAATGCGCTCAATGGATCTTTTCTCTCACCTGTATAATTGGTAGTTTTATTTGAAAATAGAAATAAAAAAATCCGTATCGTAATTACCCATAATGAATCCATATTTTTGATTTGCATCCAAATTGCTTGATGTATTGATTGTTTGCGATTGTAGCGTTGTATCTGTAAATGAATTAATTGAATGAATGATCGTTTTGTTTTCGTTTGTATCCAAAATGTAATATATATACGAACGATGGCTTTAAGAATTTTTTTTTTCTTCAATATAAATACATTTTAATCACATGTATTTATATATGCTTACATCATTTTCATTGAATTTCATTTGATTTGATCGATTTTCGGTTGTTTTTATCACCTCTGCTCGCATCGAAAAAAATATTTGAATTCAAATCTGGTAGATTTATTTTTTGTTTTTGTGTTTATGATTTTTTTTTTGCCCATAACCATTTCAACAAAGATGCAATAGAATGAAAATTAAAAGATTCACCAATAGATGGCGCATCGTCTAGTTGCATATACACCACCAATAATAAATGCAAAGTGTTTCAAGTGGTCATTGTTTCAGATTGAATTAATTATGCGCAATCACATACACATTAGGCCGGTTCGATTCATGAAATGTTGAAAATTCAAAATTCGACATCTTGGTATCAATTTGTCTTGTCAAAACAAGCACTTTTTGTTCTGAAACCATCCTGGAAAATTCGCTCCTGTTTAGCGCGAGCTGAATTCCCAAATGACGATTTTTTAGAAAATATTGACTTGAATCGACAAAAAAATGGATTTCAATTGACTGCAAACGCTTTCTTTTGGCCCGCAAAAAACGAATCTGGCGGTATTTTTGCGATTTAATGTCATTTGATGTATCAAAAGTGATGACGCAAAAGCAATGAAGCAAAAATACATTAAAATAGGTTCTTTAAAAATTCAGTGTGTGAATTTTTCGGCATTTTTATTGGGCCCCTTTTTGACAAAAATTTGATTTTGCGAAGGATCGCTATCTACTTGGATGTGTAGGTCTATTTCTTCGACACGCAATACAAAATAATGTAAGAATAAGATATTTCGACTTAATTTTCAACCAGGATGGAAGTGGTTTTACAGTGTTCTGAAATTATTTGAAGGTCGAAAAATAGGTCGGTATTCAGACATGTTTTCAACTCGTCATATTTTGAATGACTAAAAGAAATGTTCTCAAATCAAAGCGTATGGCCACCAAATCATCAAATACACTAAAAACAGTTAATTTGGAGGCCAAATAATGTATATAAGCCGAAGCTGAACGTTAAAATGACACGTAACAACTTAACGAAAATATTGACTTGAATCGCATTTTGAATTTTCAACATTGCATGAATCGATCCGGCCTAATACACATACACATACACAGTAGCAGCTAGTTTGCCGGCGGTGTTATGACGAAATGTCAAGTAATCTTTCGCACTTACACAGCGAGCTCCAACTGTTGAAATAATTTACTCTCGAAGGGGGAAAAAAACCGTGTTTAATTTTTAATGTGATCAAAATCAAACAAGCCTTAATAAATATTGAATAAATTCATATTTTGTCGCGATTTCAAAAAAATTGATGGCAAATTGATTACAAATTGGAAAGACAACGAAATCTCGGTTCAAAGTGTGTCGCCAGTGTAAACCATCGCCAGAAGCACCGCTCAAGGGGAATGTCACAAAGAAGGTACTAGAATTATATAATTCGGAATAGGTAATAGGTTGAAATAGTTTGGAATAGGCGGCAACGTAAATCTCAACAAATAAACTGTACTATTCACAGAAACATTAGGTTTTTAATTCAATCGTTGGCACTGAAAATTTTCAATATTTTTTTGTATAGTTTAAATACATATATTAAACATTTACAACAAAAAGTATTTTCACAAAAATATTGAAATGTTTCTGACTGAATTGAAAACTCAATGTTTCTGTCACCATATCGGCGTATTTGTTGACTTTTACATTTCCACTAATTCCAAACTATCCCAACCTATTCCGAATGATATAATTCTAGTACGTTCTTTGTGACAATCCCCTTGGCACTGCCCGATGGCGGTTCATTCATATTCAGTCACAAGAATTCGAAACAATTTAGGAAAAAGAAAAAATATCGCCCACGGAATTCGGACGACTATGGCCGCCAGCCAAAAGTCGAACTGAAACGCTTCAATATGATCGATGGAATATTCCAAGCATATGCTTGTGCCGGCTGCTGAAAATGCTGCGATATTATCAGTGAAGAGGCCACGAACACATTTGCGACGTCGGCGCCTAGATGTCATCGCATGGAAATACATACAAAATGATGATGATGTTGGTGATACGACAAAAGTCCGTTCGGTTACATTGAATCGAGACACTAATGCCGGTCGAAATATTCGACTTCGCGGTAAGTTTACAGTGAATGATTTATTTTTTTATATTTTTTGAATGACATTAAATTCAATACAATCCGATTTTTATCATACATGTACTTGGGTCATCATGAACTATTGGGAATAAAATTGCCAGATGCATTCACAGTCGATGCCAAGACACAAAAGCAACATGAGTAGCGACGCTTCAAAGAATTTGATGAAAATAAGCGTAAAAAGCAACAAAAGGTAATAATATATTGTGTGCGATTACATTATTTGTTGAATATAATTTTTGAATTCATCTGATGTAAAATGTGAATTTGATTATTCTGTTTACATTTCAGTGTCAAACAACAAATTTCGATGAAGCTGAATACGATTCGGATCAGCCATGGTGGTCGTCAAGCAGCGAAGAAGATGCAATCGATTTGAGCAACAGTGAATTGTCAGACAACAGTGATGATAGTAATGATAGCGATAGTGGTAGCGACGACGATGGCGAAAACTGAGAATAGCATCGTTTACACACTGCACATTAAAATCAACAATCAATCAATCAAACAAATAAATGAAAAATTAAATTTAGTTTAATTTAAGGAACAATGTTAATAGTTCTTATCATGAAGTCTGGCTATTCAGCGTTGTCTTCCGTATTATCTAACCGATAGTAGCGTTGGCTCAATCTAACCGATAATAAAATAAATAAATAAATCTAACCGATTGTAGCGTTGCCATTGTTTACTTTGGAGATAGTATTATTACTGTTGTTGTTATTCACATGAGCACTATTATGATTGCCATCTGAATGTTTTTCTAACAACGGGCTACGATTGCTCGTTAGTGATGCATGTAACTGTGGAAAAAATATACAAAAATCATGATTTTTGTTCTTTAGGAAAATGTTAATGTATTTTCTTTAGTGAAGAGCAAAATTCTTAGTACCTGCGACTGTTCAACAATCATATGATTACTATCGCTCCATTCACCAATAGGATTTCTTGGTTGCATAATTGGTGCGTCTGACATTAAACTGTTTATGCTGGAGGAGGAACTATGTGAATCGCCCATTTGTCCGTTTGACTTGACCTGAAAATTAACCATTCATTAGAAAAGGCTTCATTATAAGAACATGTGTCCTACATGTGAAGAAGACTTTTCAATGCTTTCTATTAAACTCTTGACCGACAATCGGGAGTCTTGTCGGGAAATTCCACCGCGTTGTCGCCGTTGCGCAATTTCTTGTTGCATCACTGTATTCAATAATGTTGTCTGTGATTCGTGTGCTGCCATAGCTGCAATTGACCAATTGGTGGTATTTATTATCATTCATAATATTAATTGATTGAGGGTTTTCAAGAGGCACACTAGCAAAACTAGCGAAAGTAGCAAATACTAACATTTAATAGAAGATCTATTATTATATCAATCTACAACTGGCAAAATGCCTGAAGCATGCTTTTAAGCTGGCCATAATGTCAATTTGTATTTTCTTGGTTGCTCAGAAATCATTTTGATTTAAGGTTAAAAATTATTCATACTTTTCAATAGCAATTTTAATATTATAAAAATATAAGCCTTTTTAAAATGTACATGTTGAAACCTTTCGTATATTCGATCATGCAGTCAATCTGACGCATGGAATATTTTAGACGAACTAATGAAATTAGCAAAACACTAGCAATATAAGCACAAGTTAGTAAAAATAATAGCATAATTAGCACGAACTAGAAGAAATAGCATTTATAGTGCTTTTACCTTTACTTAGTCTCAAATTTTCTTGTTCAAGCGTTCGTATGCGCTCTTTTTGTGTTTTATTATCAATTATCATTTGTTCATGTGCCATTTGAGCTTCGGTCTTAAAATCGTTTGCCACTCTCACCGTCATCAATAGATCAGATTGAAATTGTTTCCATTCTTCATTTTCGAATTTTCGTAATTTTCGTTCGTTATTTAATGCATCTTCTTTTTCGTTAAGCAATCGTTCTGTTTCACCCAAATGACGTTGTGTTTTCGATAACAGACTTTCCAATTGTGCTTTATCTTCTAAATGGCATTTACATTGTACCTGAAGCTCATTGAGACCTTCTTGTGTCATTTGTAAATCATATGCTAATTTGGTTTTCTCTTGTTTCAATTGCTCGAATTTGTATTCAAAATCGGATAAAGCGCATTTTGCATTATTTCGTGTCACTTTACATTCTTCGGTCAGAGCTGCAATTTGATCCTTCAATTTCTGCACCTCACATTGACTTTTTGATAACGATTCCTGCAGTATTGTCATTTCACTTTCTATTAAATCTTTTTCTTTACGAGCCACATCAAGCAATTCACTTAAATCCGATTTTTCCCCAATGGATCGTTCTTGTTCAAATTCATCGATCTTTGATCGAGCATTTTCTAACATTGTTGAGAGTCGACTAATTTCGATTTGACGTTGACTACAGTCTTCACGTGCCTGTGATAATTCATTGCGGTCTAAAATAATGATAAAAATTAATTTAGTTCAATTTAAGGAACAATGTTAATAGTTCTTATCATGAATGTCTGGCTACATAGCGTGGACTTCCGTATTATCTAACCGATAATTTAATATCAGTTATTCACCTGAGGGTGAATCACATAGAAAACAATGAAAATAATGCAAAATAATCAATCAAATGAAAGAAATAATAAATTATTCAAATAATGGAAAAATATACTGAAATTCCAGATGAATGTGAATTTATATATTAATATATAGTTTAGGATCAATAACATTCCTTGATTTGAAGAAAAAATACTCCTTTGTATACGTAGGCGACTATTTAAGTTTCTTCAATATGTATGTTTTTGTAATGCCCGATGCAAACCATTGTCATATTCGTTAAGTTTAATATTTTGTAGCATAAACGTTCTCAGAACGTTTTGTCATTCGATCGTTATTTGTATTGTTTACCGTAACATGTAAATTGCGTCTCAGCCAAAAAATGAATTTTACTTGTGAAAATTTTCGAGCGATTATTTTTTTCCACTTTCGATTGGGTGTATCACAACAACAGTGTTTTGATCAACTTCATTTGGCCTTTGGCGATGAAGTACCAAGTCTTCGGACAATTTATAATTGGTACAACGAATTCAAGCGCGGTCGCCTATCGCTCATCGATGAGTTCCGCGAAGGTCGTCCAAAATCAGTTGTTGTACCAGAAAACATCGATGCTGTCAGAAATATTATAATGGAAGATCGTCATGTAACATATCACGAGATTGAGGCATCCCTGGGCATTAGTGCGACCAGCGTATTTAACCTTTATATGCTCCTGGTGTAGAAAACTACGCATATCATTTTTATTTTTTATTTTTTTTCGAAAAATTCTAAACCAATTTTTATGAAACTTCTTGACTTTAATTTTTGCTTTATTTTAAACATAAAAAAATGTTACCCCATGTCAAAAGTATTTTTCGCATCGGAATATTAAAAAAATTACATAGACTACCTTCAGTGAGTAGATTTCTACTCATATGGGATTTCAACGTATTTGACGGAAAAAACGTCATTCAGTCAACGTTTGTTTGCAAGTTTAGTGAGTGTGTGCAATGTTGTGTATTGTTATGAAATTTTCTGAAGAATAATTTCAAAAATATAACATGGCTAGACCAAAATATCTTACACAAGAGGAGTTGGAAACACTATTGAATGAGACTGACGACGAAGATGCCGACATTAGCGATGACGAATGTGAATTACAAGAAGACAGTTTGATTGAAACAAGTGATTCTGATGTTGAAGAACCGGACGATATCGAAATTGATGGCTCAGCAGACGATATTGAAATTGATGAAAATGCTGATCTAACGTTTATTTCAAAAGATGGCATAGTTTGGAACTCTGAACCAGTGACAGATCGAAGTGGAAGATTGCGTAAAGAAAACGTTTTCACACTTCGTCCGGGACTAACAAGATTTGCAAAAAACCGTGTTGATTCTATCAAAGATGCATTTCTCCTTTTCTTTCCATCACCAGTTGAAAACATTATTTTGAAGAATTCGAATGCGTATGCAAAGGCGACGTATGGCGAAAATGCCATTGAAATCGATTCAAACTTATTACATGCGTATATCGCTGTACTAATCTTGGCCGGTGTATACAGGTGTGTTGTTGGATTTTTCTTTCATTTTTTGAGATGATTTTTATGTTTGGGTTTTTATTTTACCTAGATCAAAAAATGAAAATTTGGTTGATTTATTTGACGGTGAATATGGCCGTCCAATTTTCAGAGCGATCATGTCAAAGAAAACATTCCAATACATGAGCCGAGTTATGCGTTTCGATGATGTCATGAACAGACGACAACAAAAATCCACCGACAAGTTTGCACCAATTCGTGATTTATTCGATAAGTGGTCGGAACTTTTACCTGATTTCTACAATCCATCTGAATGTGTCACTGTAGACGAGCAACTTCTTGGTTTTCGTGGCCGATGTAAGTTCCGGCAATACATGCCATCCAAACCAGAAAAATATGGCATAAAATTTTGGCAATTAGTTTGTTCTGAAACATGTTATGTATGGAAAATACAGCCATATTTGGGAAAAGCCGTTGGTGTTGATTCGGCTGAAAAAGGACAAGGTGCACGCGTAGTATTGGATCTTATTGGCGGACTGAAAGGTCACAACGTAACAATGGATAACTTTTTCTCATCTTATGAACTTGGGCAGAAATTGCTATCAAAAGGTCTCACAATGGTTGGTACGATGCGAAAAAATAAAAGAAGCATTCCACCAAAGCTCCTTGAATGTAAAAAAGTTCCTTTGTACCAGTCAACTTTTGCATTCACGAAAGACACAACACTCGTTTCATATGTCGGACGAAAAAACAAGTGCACGATTTTGCAAAGCACAATGCATAGTTCAAATGATGTAGGATCCGGCGACAAAAAATTGCCCGAAATTATAGAATACTACAACAAAACTAAAGGTTTGTCAAATGCTACTTTTTGATGGTAATTTGATATTTAGGTGGTGTGGATACGGTTGACAAGATGCTTTCGTGTTACAGCTGTAAGCGCAAAACAAATCGTTGGCCTATGGTCGTGTTTTCGAATATAATCGATATTTCAGCCTTGAACGCATTTGTCATTTTCAAAGAAGTGTCACCGAATTGGCAAACAACACAGAAAACTACATTACGACGCAATTTTCTACGGGAACTTGGATATTCTCTTGCGCAGCCATACATGGATATGAGAAAAGGTGTGCCACGATCTGAATCATCAGCATCGCTTCTTTCAGCGAGCCGAGAATCCCTACAATGGCGTGAAAGTTCACCAGCTATTCAGTCTTCGTCTTCCTCCATTTCTCGTGAGTCTTCGATGTCACGTGAAGGTTCACCAACTTTGCTACCATCTACATCATTCGAAATTCCTCGTAAAAGAGCAAAAAGTGTTCCATCGGTGTCGAAAGGCAGATCAAGATGTCACATGTGCTATACTGAGAAATCCGCCAATAGAAATAATATGCATGAAACTATCTGTTGTTTTTGTACTAAAGGTGTTTGCAAAAGCACCCATAATCGAAATGTGTGCGTGAAATGTATTGTAGAACGCCTACTTTAAAAACAAATCACTTTTAATGTAATGATTTTTGAAAAAAATCAAGTAAAATCAAAAATATCTTCAAAAAATCTGTCAAAATATGTGTTTTCCATACAAATTCCATATGCGTAGAAATCCACGCACAAGGGTAAAATTTGTAATTTTTTTTGAAGGGCATATGAAGGTTAAGATTTTACATGAACATTTAGCTTTCAGAAAGATTTGCTCTCGTTGGATACCACATAATTTGACAATCGCTCAAAAAAGGCTCGTGTCGATTGGTGTAAACAAATGCTCAAGAAATTCAATCGTGGTGTTTCAAAATCCGTGTATTTTATCGTCACTGATGACGAATCATGGATCTACGCGTATGAGCCCGAAACTAAACAGCAGTCGACTGTATGGGTCTTTCAAAGTGAAGATAACCCAACAAAAGTTGTTCGAGCTCGAAGTGTTGCGAAGCAAATGGTCGCCTGTTTTTTCACGATAAGTGGTCATGTGGCAACAGTTCCACTAGAGGCTCGTAAGACCGTCAATTCTGATTGGTACACCACCATTTGTTTGCCCGAAGTGTTTGATGAAATAAGAAAAAACAACCGCCGTCGCAAAATAATTCTTCATCATGATAATGCGAGCTCTCACACATCTCATCAAACAGTCGATTATTTGACCGGTCAAAAGATCGATTTAATGGGTCATCCGCCGTACAGTCCTGATTTGGCACCCAACGATTTCTTTTTATTCCCGAGCGTGAAGAATAAACTGCGTGGTCAACGATTTTCATCGCCCGAAGAAGCATTTGATGCGTTCAAAACACACGTTTTGGAGATATCACTTTCGGAGTGGCATGAATGCTATGACAAATGGTTCGAGCGAATGCAAAAGTGTATTGATCATCATGGCGAATATTTTGAAAAACAATAAAACCATTTTCGATGAAACCCCATTGTCTTATATATGGTTTTGAAAAAACTTAAATAGTGACCCTCGTATGTGATGGTCAAAAACTATAGTTTTCTTTCATCCATTCAACGCCATACCCAGCTAACAAAATTGTAACGTTTTTTATCCATTTTAACGCTGAAAAATGTAACGTTTTGACCCGTTTTGGTGGTTATTTTCGTGTAAAATTGAAGGTTGATTATAGGCATACAGATTCCGCATTGTACGGCATAATGTGAACCCGACTCAATACAACGTTAAGTTTTAATTTTGTTTTCCAATTCTAATTATTCGTTTGACGCAAATAAAAAAAAGACAATTTGTATACATAGAGATTTGTGCGATTTGATTTTAGTTTCGGTAACAGAATTTTTTCAAACGTTTATTATTGCAATTATTTTTTTTATTCCATGCCATGAATGCAAATTCGAACTTCGAATTCGAAACTTATTTGAATATGTGTGACATTTTACAGTTGGCTGCGGTGTGTGTCACATCGACGGCGAACATCATTTGTTTACATTCAAAAAAATCTCCTCGTAATCATCGTGTATCGCATCACATCGTCACAGTCGTTTCATACAATCGGTTTCTTTCTTGGAATTTTAATATAGAGGATTTGTGTTTGCAAAGAATAGATTTATTTACGCCTGCATTTTGTGATTGTTTTTGTTTTTATACAAATAACACAACATTCACAAACTAAAGACGTGAGGAATCGAAATTCATCATTAAATCATTTGTGTCAGTCGTACGATCGAAAGATTTGGGGTGCTCCACATTTGATCAATGCATTTATTATTTGGATTTTTGTTGTTAGTTTGAAGTCGGATTCGATTCTGATTTTCGAATAGGCGAATATTTGCACTACGACGACATCAAATTTGTCATCTGAATTCAGTTTAGCGGAATTCATTGCAACGGTAAGATGATCGTCTCTTTGTCCAGCATATATTTGTTTATCATTTTGTGCTGAATCGTGTGTTTTTTGTTCAAATGAAATTATTAAGTGTTTTAAGTCAAGTTTATGCAATTATTTAATGCAATTTTTGTTACTTTTTCTTCTTTTTCGATACAGTGAAAACACTTTCGTCGACATGAAGCGAAAACGTGCACTCAATGGAAATTTCAAGAATGTCAAGTTGACATTGAATCAATGCTTGCGCCCTGAGTACCGAGAAGCGGTTCTGAACTGGACAATTTACTGGTGTGAAACAGCTACGGTCATTTCGGTTTTAGCATCTTTGTTGGTTTTATTTGAAGTCAACAAAGCCTTTGACGAAGATAATCAAGGATTTTTTGCCGGAAATGGGTACAAATTGATTGAAAAATGTTTCACATCTGTTCTGAATGAGCACAAGCACAAATTGCCGCTCGAGTTCAGACAAATAATTGAAAGAGTCGTCCGAAATTTTCAATGGCCAAAGCGTGCAGGAATGGGAAACGCTTTCAATGAACTCTTCAAACAATACACGACCAATTT